GTGACAACAACTTGAGCATGGCTCCTAGCAGGTGAGAGCAGTCCCCAGCAGAAACTGGCAAGGAACTGAATTCTGTGGAGAACTTGAGGTAGCTTGGAAAGGATCCTTCCCTAGTCAAGTCTCTAGGGGGAAAGGCGTGGAGAAATCAGCCACAAAGAGCCTGGTTATCTTAAACCACTAGATTTATGGTAATTTGTTGTGCATCATAAAAGTAAGTAGGGGCACTCATCCACGTGCTGAACATTGTGGTAAATATGCTCATTTCATTCCTGTAGCAACCCTCGAGGCCATCACTGTGTCCACCACTAGGACAAGAAGACTGAAGCCTGGCCCAGTGGACAGAACTGGAAAAGATTGCTTCCCGAAATCCTTCTGTGTCCCCCTCACTTTCCTTGAATTTGTAAGACCCACTCCCAAGCAATGCTGTGTCCTCTACATTGCTTGGTCTGTCCTTAGAATTTGAATGGTACAGGCCGATGCTGGCACCTTGCCTGAAGGATTTCGACCCAACCCATTTCGTCTCTTATAGGTAGCAGCCAGTGAGGGTGCTGCTTTCCATGTAACCATGCCTTTGAAGAATCTCATTCTGCCTTGAGTCTTCCAACATGAAGCTTACACTCTTTCTTTCACAAAAGACAAACTGAGTGAAGCTATCTCTGGCCTTTGTTTTGAAGAAATGGGCAGTATCCGTATTCCCAGCTTGCCCTCCCAGCCCTCACACTACGTTCCCCAGCTAGTGAGCCCCTACACCACGGCGGGCCCCTCCCTCAGCTCCAATCTCCCACCCAGGCTATGACAGCAAAAGTGCTCAAGGGATTTCTCTATTTTTAGAACCACCAGAAAGTCAGTCTTTCCCCACCAAAACACAAGATTTCCAGAGAGGTGGAAGAAATGTGCCCTTGCTCCCACATGGGAGGGGAAGGAGGGCATGGTGAAAATTGCAGGACGAATTGACAACAGAGCGGAGGGCAGGGGCCAGTGTGGGGACAGGCAGAATATAGAAAATGACATTACAGCGAAATGAACAGGCAAGATCAGCAGAGTAGATAAGCACAAAACCACTCCCGCCAAACGATGAGTAAGGAAGAAGATTCAGCACAAAGTCCAAGTGCAGAAGACACGCCAGCAAGGGCTCCAGAACCCAGCAGTATTTGAAGTCTGTGAGTTGTAGGTCTCTGCAGCGAGGGGTTGTACAGATGCTTCCTAGGAAGAAGCCACGAATTAACAGGATGCTGTCAGAGATTATTGTCAGTTCAGGAGTCCAATCATTAGAGACTTCGGGAAAATCAGATGAAGGTAATAAAAAGTATGACGGTAATGATACAATATTGAGCATTCAATCTACTGTTGAACTGATTGAATCCTAACAAACATCTTCTGAAGCTCTTACTCTTATTATACGCATTTTACAGACAAGGAAATGGAGGTGCTGAGGACTTAAGTAATTTGGCCCGAGGAAGGGCAGGGACAGGAATGGTGAGGAGCCCCCTGTGGCCAGAAACAAGTGAGAGAAGATGGAAAAGGGATGCAGAGAAACAACAAGACATGATCCTGGAGGGTCTCACGGGGCCATCGCAAGAAATGTGGCTTTTACGCAGAGTGATATAGTAGACCACCGGAGGGTTTTGAGAAGGGTCCTGGGGTGTGACCCACATTAGAATATCATTCTTCCAGCTGCGAGGGTGAGAAGAAATGGGAAGCAGGGCTGGGGGCAACGGGTGAGGCGTGTGGATCAAGAGTGGAGCCACGCAGGAACGCAGCCCAGGGGGACGGGGCGCCGGGTCACCAAACGGATGCCGGGTGTAGACTGACCCTACTCGATGGGCATCCCTGCATCTGTCCTATGTGTGGGGAGGACGTGGTGAGTGATGCCACATGGATTTACGGGACGCTGTTGCAGCTGTGTGTGCTCCCTAGTTACAGTGTGCAACATGTGCACGCGTCTCACTGAATGTTATCTTTGCGCGCTTTGGAAAATTCATGGTCAGCCCATGGGGATAAGCATATCTTACAAAGCAACTTCTCGTGAATTGTTTTGGAAGCAGCCCGATCAGGGAAGCCGGTCAGTCACACATTATTCCTGCCACCGGCCACAAGAGAGTATGAAAGCGGTGAACACGCAGGCTGACCCGACCCGGGTCACGGGAACTGCGGGTCGGAAGGCGGTCCTTTGTCCCCCACACCCAGCTCCCAACTCAGCTTGTGACAAGCAACATCTGGAGATGACCCTGGAAAACGAGGTGACGAATTTCGGCCTCCCCGAAGATGTCGGTGTCATAGCCCGCGCCCGGCAACCCTCTTGGCGGTCGTCTGGGGGGGGTCACCCGCCTCTCGTAACAGCCGTTAAATTACATGCCTTACAAGTTCAGCTCTGACCAAAGCTGCAAACTGCTGTAGGAAGACTCGCAAAGAAGAGGAAAAGCCAAATAAACTAAAATCTCATTCAGTCGATTCCAACGAAGGCTTTCCTTTTGTAAGGTGATTTTAAGGTCTGGCACAGAAGGGCCTTTTGAGAAAGAGTTCAAAGTATTTCTCTGCAGCTTCAGGAATCAGCAAAGCATCCGCACCCTATTGGCTTTGGTTGCCAGTTCATGAAAACCCATCGTTTTTTTCTTTCTGTTCAATATGCAGTGACACTAACTCAGCCTTTACAAATCTTCTTATAAGTTACATAGATGATCTCCTCTCTAATGGCACGGCCAAGACAAAGGCCAGGTACTGGTCTTGGGCACAAAACTTATGGGGCAGGGCATTAAAAAACTGGAACTCAAAATAAGGAGTATTTTCATCTGATTTTTTAGCATGTTTATTTTTGAGAGACAGAGTGTGAGCAGGGGAGGGGCAGAGAGAGAGGGAGACACAGAACCCGAAGCAGGCTCCGGGCTCCGAGCTGTCGGCACAGAGCCCAACACAGGGATAGAACCCATAAACCACAAGATCATGACCTGAGCTGAAGTTGGACACTTAACCGACTGAGCCACCCAGGTGCCCCAATTTTTTTTAATGAAGTTTATTTATTATTTTGAGTGAGAACAAGCGGCAGAGGGGCAGAGAGAGAGGGAGACACAGAACCCGAAGCAGGCTCCAGGCTCCGAACTGTCAGCACAGAGCCCGATGCAGGGCTCGAACCCTCGAACTGTGAGATTATGACCTGAGCTGAAGTCAGACGCTCAATCGACTGAGCCACCCAGACGCCCCAGTGTGATGTTTTTAAAAGTCGAAATGCCCAAATGTCCATAGGGAACGAAGCGTCGCGAGCGTAAATGAAGGCTGCATCAGCGCGAGGGACTCTCCCTTCGCCTCAGGCTTCGGGATGGCTCGGCCCAGCACTGGAAAATGTGCTGCCTTCTGCTGTCTTATGCTTCAATATTCTTCCCGCCTGCAGTTTGCAGCGCAATCCAGGGTGGTTTCTCCCGTGGAAGGCTGAAACAGGAAGAATGAGAACAGAGACAGGACAGGTGTCGCGTCTCGTAGAATATATTGGGCCCCACACGATTTCCCTTTCACTGGTTCCATTTCCCTAAAGCCTCATAAAGCACAACCTGCGCGCCTCGCCGTCTCCATCACAGGAGTGGCACCAGGTAGACACGACGTCCTCGGGGTGACCGTGGACGCGCCATAGTATGACACGTCAAACCCAGTCGCCCGGCTGTGTGGCAGCCTCTCGCCTGTGGTCTCGGGGCTGCAGGAGATGCTGAGTGTCTGCGGATGATACTAAGAGGACTTGTGAGTCAACAAAGGCCCCATGGCAGTCATACAGTTAACACAAAGCTGTGACCGTCCGGTAGTGTTACATTCGGCACAACCGCCTGAGCCACTAAGTAGAGTCCAGCGTTCCCTCTTGAGATGATGCAGATTAACATGAACAGACACACTTCTGGAAGATCACTTCAGGGCTGATGTGAAAATGGCCAAGAGAGATTTCAAAGAAATACCGTTGAAAGAAAGGGCATGTTCGTGGAGAGGAAAATGCGGGTCCTCTCGTCCTGCTGGGCGCGGAGTATCCCAGAGCCATTTTGTGGTTGGCTGGGCAAGTTTTCCTGAAAGATGAAAGAGAGGAAGAACCATCAGCTCAACCCCCAGGAGCTCCCAGAATTTTCCTCGGAGTCAACTTTCTTCTTAATCTTTGGGAATCACGGATACAGAATTCAGTGCACTTGCATAAAATTTGCGTGTCGTTTTCCCTGTCAACAGATGTGAGGACAGACGTCACCGGGCAGCGAAACCCACAGACTCCCTGGTTTCGCTGACCCCGTGTGCATCTGCGAGTCCCTGCCGTGTGAGTCAGCTGGGCCTTTTTGGTTTTTAATAACTGGCCAAAGATCATAGCTAGGTGGGACTCTCCTGGGGGCCAGCTCAGAGGCATTGCTGCACTGCTCAGAGATGACAAAAAATTCAAGGTGCCAGGAAGCCGAGAAGACACCCCCTCTCCCCGCCTCCTTCTGTGTAGCCCCAGACCCTGCTCTGCCAAGTGTGCTCTGGGACCAGCAATGTTAGCAACTCCTGGGAGCCTGCAAGACTTGTAGACTCTCAGACCCCACTCCAGACCTCCTGAGGCACAGTCTCGGTTGTGACTAGACCCCTGATGATTCCGATACACGCAAGAGTTCGAGAACATGGCGCCCACGAGCCTGGGCTTTCAAAGCCGTCCTCGTGACCAGGAGGAGCTACCGGATACTATCATACGCAAAGCGGAGGTGAGCCTTCAAAAATGGGACAGCCCTTCTCAGCAAGAAGGGGCTCGCAGGGCTCTCTGGCTCGATGGGCACGTACCCTTAGTTAAGGGAGACTTGGTGGTAGATGAAACCATTCTTAGATTTCCGGGAATTTTCATGGAGGGCGTCCATAGCCCTGAGGTTCAGGGGAGGTGAATGCTGGAGGATTCCTGAGGACTGAGCATCTGGGAGGAAGAGAGGAGGAAAGACATCTTCTGGTGTATTTTTGGCTACAGACTGGGCCATGCAGGACTTGGCAAGCTGGCTGATCCCTGTCGGCTTGGATTCTATAGAGCCCTCCTGGTGGCTCCTAGCCGGTGTCTGACTGACCTTTTTTGCACTTTTTCTATACAGATCATTAAACTCTTGGGTTTATTTTGCAGCATACAAGTTAACATAGGTCTCACGCAAGTAAATATCAAAGCTAAGAACAGTAGCTTCCATGGCAAAGCATCCACTTTATATCAGACACCATCCCAGATGGCCTGAAGTAGCTCTTTAAACCCACATGACCCCCCCCACCCCCTGCCAAGAAGCCATTCTCCCATCTTATAAATGAGGGACCTGAGACACAGGCACTACTTTTTAAATTTTGCCCCAAACCATTTGATTTGTTTGGAGAAATCGGCGATTGTTGTTGCTGGTTCCCCTCCTGCGGTCAGTCTGTCTTCTCCGTCGGTTTGTCCACAACCAGCATCTTGGCTCAGCTTTGTCATCTGTCCCCTGACCAGTTGCCATTCCTTGCCTTGGGGTAACCCGGGGTTCTTTCAAACACACCCTTGTCTTGTCTCCACCAGACTGAGGCAGACCCCCTCCCTCTCCCCACAGAACATTTCATGGATTGTGCTGTCCCTCCCTTTCTCTTTCGGGAAGGACTTGTTGGCTAAGAACACCTGCTGGTCTGGACTTCTTCCTTCTCTCCGTGCCCACTGCTCGGATAAGAAGCTTCTCTCGCCTCCTGCTAGTGATTCATCATCCAGGTATGCAGAATTTTGGAAGTGAAATGACCCCCGGTGTAGGAAAAGAAAAGTTATTTTACGGGAGCATACAAATGTGAAATTTATTTGAAGCCTAGAGTTGAATCTTTTAAAACGCACGCAAATTAGGACTATCCTAGCAAAATGTGTCTTTGTCTCACTGTCGGCATGATTTGAATTTCAGACCAGATTAAATCACCTCAGTTTTCACCTCCACGTTTCTGAGTGAAGTTCAAACTCCTGGATGATGTGCTGTGTTTATTCTGTGGCATTTAGCATCCCCAGCACACTGCCCCGTGTGCTCTGAACAGCCAAACACTTGGACATTATGGTCCCCTGATGATTTTCCTAAATAACTGTTATGGGGAATGGGACAGTCGTTCGAAACAGGACAGGTGGCTAAACACCGCTCTTACAGAAAACACCGGAATAGTAGTGAATGTATCTGCTGCATGGCCCGCGGAATCTTAACATCCCTTTTAAACGAGAAGAGCCAGAATGGGAACCCGTGTCACCGAAGCAGGTGTTCTTACCGATCTGCAGATCCTCCCGGTGACCACTCTTGAGACAAAATGTCTCACAGTACCTTCCCTCCCCGACCCTTTGAGAAACATCTTGTTGTGAGTATCACTGAAAAATTATGTTCCCTGCCTTCTGCAGCAATGAGTGAAAGCTGCTGAGTCGCTGGAGTTGTGGATGTGAGTGCTTCAATAATCTTAAAATAAAAATAAGTCCACACGACTTCAGTATTTTACCACAAATCTTCTTTGGCGAAGGAGCACCTCCCGTCATATAAGAGGGGAGTTGGAACTGGTGCTTTGGGGCCCCCATTATCTCATGGTGACGTGCACTGTCCCTGGGGAGGCCACACAATGATTTTGCCAAATACATGCCTTTGGCTTAAGGCATTTAAATAATTCTAGCTTCGAAATTAATGAAGAGATTATTGAAAACATCCTGACAGTAATTTGGAAGACAATCTGTTCGTATATTTCTATTTGGAAGAATGGCAGTTTTTAAGAAGCTAAATTCATCTTAAATCTGAAACACAAGTGTCACACAATGAAAGGCCTGGTGAACTGGAGAAAGAGAAATTGAAAACCAGACCTTAAAAAATCAGTCAGAACATCTTCATGGTATGAAATAAATGAGACAATAGAAATGTAGAAGTTTCCCTAATTCATAATGTAGTTCTTTGTTCTAGAGATTTGTACAGTATTGTGAAAATCAGCCACACTGAATCATTAAAAAAATTTTTTTTAAGTTTATTCATTTTTGAGAGAGAGAGACAGAGCATGAGCAGGGGAGGGGCAGAGAGAGAGACAGACAGACACAGAATCCAAACCAGGTTCCAGGCTCTGAGCTGTCAGCGCAGAGCCCGACGCGGGGCTCAAACTCACAAACTGCGAGCTCATGACCTGAAACCCAGTTGGATGTTCAACCGACTGAGCCACCCAGGTGCCCCAGCCACAATGAATCTTTTAAATTGTTAGAAGAATACTTTCCTGCATTTCTTTTGAAATATTCCCTGCTGAAAGAAAGAATATATAGACACACATACCCAGTTTAGAGAATAACATTAAAGAAACACTTACCTACTCGCAGGCCACCAAAGGGAAGAGAACATTATTTGTTACCATGATATCTCTTGTGTCAGATGATTTTACTCCCTCTCCGTGCCTAATAATCATCTGATACTTGGTGTTTGTGTACATCAATCGCTTCCTTTAAAACCTGTTCAACGATGTGTGTATTTTTGCCTAAACAGTAATAAGTTTAGTTTGGCTCGCTTTGAGCTTTATATCGGTTTTAATCTTCAAACGCTTGAAATGTTCTTCTCTCAGAATGAGCTTTCTATGCATCATCCGTGTTGGTGGGTAGAGCTGCTTAACATTCCGTTGTGTGATGCTGCAAATGACAAATCCATTCGTACGCCCACTTTTTAGTGGGCACTCGTATTCTAGTTTCTGCTCTTATCCGTAATCCAGCAAGAAAGACTCTTGCACACGAGTCCTAGTGCACAGGTACCAAGCTGTCCCTGCGGCAAACACCTGATAGCTCAATGTTGAGTCGTAGGGAATGTACATGTGTGATTTTACCTGCAATTGTGAGACTCTTCTCCAAAATGGCTCTCCCAAATCACCCCTCCACTGGCCATGCGTGGCTCTCGATCTGTATCTCCTCTGGGAACTTTCCATTCCTAGACGATGTAAATTCTCCTCCATCTCTTGGGTTTGAACTGGTATCTCATCGTCTTACACATTTTTCTGGTTAATGATCACACCGATCACGTATTTATATGTATGCTGTGAATTCTCTGTTCCTTAGTTGCTCATTTTCTATGTTAGGATGCAGTGTCCTTCTCATGGCCTTTTCTGGGCTAAATTGAGGTGTAACTGACAAAATTATATTAAAGTATACAATGGGATGTTTTGATATACTTTTCTTTCTTTCTCCTTCCTTCCTTCCTTCCTTCCTTCCTTTCTTTTCTTTCCTTCCTTCTTTCTTCCTTCCTTCCTTTCTTCCTTTCTTTCTTTCAAGAATGTTCCAGATTTCTTTTAGCAAACTTCATTGAGGCAGTACAGGATTGTAAACTCTGTTACGTCCAAACTACACTAGACCCTCAGAATTTATTCAGCCGTAACTGAAAGTTTATATCTTTTACCAGACTCTCCCCATGCTCTCCCCAACCCCTGCCGTCAGCCCCAACAGCCATCCATCTACACTGTTTCTGTAAGTCTGAATTTTTTTTTTTTTAAGATTCCACATATAAGTGATATCATGCCACGCTCATCTTACTCTGACTGGTTTATTTCACTCAACATAATGCCCTCCACATTCATCCTTCTTTTTAAAGACAGACTTATATATGTATCACATATCACACCATCTATCATAGATCATATACATCTTACTTTTCCTTACCCATTCATCCATTGACAGACACTTGTGTGAGTTTCACATCATGGCTTTCATAACTAACACTTCAGTGAACATGAGAGTATAGAAATTTCTTCAAGATAGTGACTTGTGTTTGGATATTTACCCCGACAGCAGATTGCTAGATCATGTGGTCCTTCCGTCTTAAATTGCTCGATGAGCCTCCACACTGTTTGCATAGTGGGCGCACCAGTTTACATTCCTTCCAAAGGTGTCAAGGGTTTCTCTTGTCTGCCTCCTCACCATCATTTATTATCTTTTGTGTTTTTGATAAGAGACATCCTAACAGATGTGAGGTGATATGTCATTGTGGTTTTGATTCGTATTCCCCTGATGATGAGTGAGTTGAACTCCTTTTCATGTACCTGTTGGCCATTCGTGTGGCTTTTATGGGGCGGGGGAGTGTGTATTCATGTTCTTTGCATGTTTTAATTTTTTTTTTGCCATTGATTTTATGAATTTCTTGTATATTTTGGGTAACAGCCCTTACTGGCTATGTGGTTTGCAAATATTTCCTCCTATTCCATACATTTGCCTTTTTAATTTTGTTGATAATTTCCTTTGCTGCACTGAACTGAAGCATTGTACTTTGGTGTAGCCCACTGCTACTTGTTTCTTTCATTGCCAATGCTTTTGATGCCAAATCTAAAAATCATTACCAGGGTCAATTTCATTGACCCCCCCCCCCCCGCCATAGTTTTTTCTTGGATTTTTGTGGTTTCAAGTCTTATATTCAAGTCATTAATCCATTTTGAGCTGATTTTTGTGTATGGTAGAAAGAAGGTTCCTGTTTCATTCTTTTGGGTGTTGTCCAATTTTCCCATTTATCAATATTCCCAGCATCATTTATTGAAGAAACTACCTTTTCCACTGTGTGTTTTTGGTGCCTTTGTAGAAAATTAACTCACCATATATACATGGGGTTGTTTTTGGGCTCTCTGCTCTGCTCTGTTGATATATGTGTCTGTTTTTATCCCAACACCATACTGTTGTGATTACTACCGGTTCGTAATACAGTTTTTTGTTTTTTTTGTTTTTTTTTTTAATTTTTTTTTTCAACGTTTATTTATTTTTGCGACAGAGAGAGACAGAGCATGAACAGGGGAGGGGCAGAGAGAGAGGGAGACACAGAATCGGAAACAGGCTCCAGGCTCTGAGCCATCAGCCCAGAGCCTGACGCGGGGCTCGAACTCATGGACTGCGAGATCGTGACCTGGCTGAAGTCGGACGCTTAACCGACTGCGCCACCCAGGCGCCCCCGTAATACAGTTTTAAATCTGAAAGCGTGTGGGGCACCTGGGTGGCTCAGTCGGTTGAGTGACCGACTTCAGCTCAGGTCATGATCTCACGCTCTGTGAGTTCGAGCCCCACGTCGGGCTCTGTGCTGACAGCTGGGAGCCTGGAGCCTGCTTCAGATTCTGTGTCTCCCCCCTCTCTGCCCCTCCCCTGCTCATGCTCTATCTCTCTCTCTCAAAAATAAATAAAAAAAATTAAAAAATAAATAAATCTGAAAGTGTGGTTCCTCTAGCTTTGTTCTTTCTCAAGGTTCTTTAGCACTGTGGGGTCTTTTTGTGGTTCCATACAAATTTTAGAATCATTACTTCTATTTCTTTCTGCCATTGGAATTTTGATAGGGATTACATTGAATCTGTAGATTGTTTTGGGTAGTATGGACATTTTCAACAATATTCATTCTTCAAGCCCATGAGCATGAAATATATTTCCGTTTCTTTACTCTACGTAGGACTTCCAATATTGTGTTGAGTGAAAGTAACAAGAATGTGTATCTTTGTCTCGTTCCTGTTTATAAGAAAAAGTTTTTAGCTTTTCATCACCAACTATAACGTTATCTGGTAGGCTTGCCGTACATGGCCTTTATTATGTTGAGATACATTCCCTCTGTACCTACTTTGGTAAGAGTTTTTGTTGTGAAAGAATGTTGCATTTTGTCAGATGCTTTTTCTGCATCTGTTGAGACGATGATATGATTTTTATGCTTCATTCAGTTAGTGTAGTGTATCACATGGATTGATTTGCCTATGTGTCAGTCGTGGTGTGTGACC